AGAACTCTCTGTTAGAAACCTAAATGTGCCTTTAGGCAATCGATCGGGGAAGACGAAGGCTAACATCGCTGTAGGGACATCATTATTGCTACTAAAATCCCCTATGATAATTCAGAAGTGGAGAACAATTGCCTTGTGCGCCCTAGAGACCCAGAGTAAAACACAATGACTTTTTTTTTTTTTTTTGGTTTTTCTCGAGACAGGGTTTCTCTGTGTAGTTTTGGTGCCTGTCTTGGATCTCGCTCTGTAGACCAGGCTGGCCTCGAACTCACAGAGATCCGCCTGGCTCTGCCTCCTGAGTGCTGGGATTAAAGGTGTGCGCCACCACCGCCTGGCAGAAACATGGACTTTTGAGTCTTAAAAAAACGTGTTGTTATTCGATTGTCCGTTTGTTTACTTGCTACTCTGAGACACTGTAGCTGAGGGTTCACAGCCATTCCCCTGCCTCATCTGGTTTGAAGAACCACGACTACTGGTTCTTTAAAACTTAAGGGTGAACTGAGAATTTGTTCTCTTCCTAAACACTCTGCGGTGGTTAATATCGCCAACTTGTCAGGATCCAGAACACCAGGGAGGCAAATATCTGAGTTTATCTGGGAGCTTCTACACTGAATTAGTTAAGGTCAGAGGATCCACCCTAAATGTGAGTAACACCATTCCATGGATTAGGGTCCCAAGATTTAGTTAGGAGGTGAAAGTCACCTGAGGGCCAGCATTCGTCACTGCGTCCTGGCTGTTGACGACGACAGGATGACAGGGAATGTCCCCTCATATCACCACGTGTTCCCTGCCATGATGGTCTGGAGTCCCTTACACCATCAGCCAAGCAAAGGCGTCTTTGCTCACACTGCATCCGGCAGGTGTCAGGTCCGGCAGTGAGAAAAGCCGCTGACGAGTTGTCTGAGCCCTGGTGCATCCATCCCCGCATGGAGTGAAAGCAGTTCTGCCTTTCATTACCAGAGGGAAGGGTCCTGGAACACTGTCCTCTCTCCCACTCAAGTATGTGTGGGAGTATAAACCCCAAAGAGCAGGGTCTTTTTTTTTTTTTTTCATATTTTGTTTTTCCATAAACAAGCTTTATCTGTGGCCTTGCGGCAGACGGTCAGTTCCAGGAAACACACAGCTGACACTGTCATTCCCCTTGAACTGTGCATAATATAAAAACAGGGTTTAAGTAAATATTTGAATTAGGACAATTACAAAAGTCTAACTGTGGAGTAGCCTTTCCTAGCATGTATGGATCGTTCCTTCCAGGGCTGCTCTTCAGTGGATTAGCATGTCACATCTCCTCCATTCAGAGGAGGCTGAACTCGACACTGGGTGTGCGGGCAGAGGATGACTGAAAGAGTGTAATTGGGAGGTTAGGCTCCTGCCACCTAGCAAAGAAAACCGTGTCTATAAACAGCAGAAGAGCAGCACCTAGTGCTAACCGCGAACACAGCAGAGGCGTGGTGACAGGAGGCCCTTTGAAGGCGAGGCTGGCGGCCAGGGGATGCCTTTTCGTGGGAGTTTAACTACGGATTCACTCCCTGGACGGACAGGCTCAGCGTGGCTAGTTGTTAATGTCCCCCTGGCTCTGTCTGTGACTCTTCAGGTGGCTTATTCCTCCCCGCTTCCCATTGTTGGTGACACACGTTCTTTGTAGTGAACTTGCCTGTTAGACAAGGTGGCCTTGCTTGGCCACTGCTTTGTCAGTGTGCTTTGGACAGACAGGGAGGAAGAGATGGAGGCCCTTGTCATTTAGAAGCTTCACAGATGCTCCTGTTTCCTGTTGTGAGCCTTCCTATACAACGCTCATGCAATAGCTGTCACCAGAGGTGACGTTTGCCGTGAGACCCAACTCTTTACACACGAAGGGTGTATTCAGACGGTCAGCTTTTGTGTCTCAGAAGAGATCACGATACCATTTGTTTGGAGATGGGAGAAGGAGTTTACATAGTCAGTTCCCCTCCCTCCTTCCCGCTCTCCCTCCTTTCCTCTCTTCCTCCCTCCCCCTTCTTCCTTCCTTCCTTCCTTCCTTCCTTCCTTCCTTCCTTCCTTCCTTCCTTCCTTCCTTCCT